ATGTCGGCAAGTACTTGGCACAGGCTGGTTTAATAAGCCTTAGGCACTTCCACGTGGTGTCAATCCCGGGTCACTGGGAGTCATCATGTGCCCTGACTCGGGGCCTGGCCCCCGTCTCTGTCTTGCAGGACAATGCCATCTTCTGTCTCATGGGGCGTCCTCCTGCTGGCAGGCCTGTGCTGCCTGCTCCCCGGCTCTCTGGCTAATGATCCCCAGGGAGATGCTGCCCAGAAGACGGATACATCCCACCATGATCAGGAGCACTCAACCTTCAACAAGATCACCCCCAGCCTGGCTGAGTTTGCCTTCAGCCTATACCGCCAGCTGGCACACCAGTCCAACAGCACCAATATCTTCTTCTCCCCAGTGAGCATCGCTACAGCCTTTGCAATGCTCTCCCTGGGGACCAAGGCTGACACTCACAGTGAAATCCTGGAGGGCCTGAATTTCAACCTCACGGAGATTCCGGAGGCTCAGGTCCATGAAGGCTTCCAGGAACTCCTCCATACCCTCAACAAGCCAGACAGCCAGCTCCAGCTGACCACCGGCAACGGCCTGTTCCTCAACAAGAGCGTGAAGGTAGTGGATAAGTTTTTGGAGGATGTCAAAAAACTGTACCACTCAGAAGCCTTCTCTGTCAACTTTGAGGACACCGAAGAGGCCAAGAAACAGATCAACAATTACGTGGAGAAGGGAACTCAAGGGAAAATTGTGGATTTGGTCAAGGAGCTTGACAGAGACACAGTTTTTGCTCTGGTGAATTACATCTTCTTTAAAGGTAAGGTTGCAAAACCAGCCTGAGCTGTTCCCATAGAAACAACCAAAAATATTCTCAAACCATCATCTTTTGAACTCTCCTTGGCAATGCATTATGGGCTATAGAAATGCATGTCGGTGTGGGCTCTTCACTTTTCTACACACAAACACTAAAATGTTTTCCATCATTGAGTAGTTTGAGGGAATAATAGATTAAATTGTCAAAACCGCTGACAGCTCTGCAGAACTTTCCAGAGCCTTTAATGTCCTTGTGTGTACCATATATGTAGAATATATAATGCTTAGAACTATAGAACAAATTGTAATATACTGCATAAAGGGATAGTTTCATGGAACGTACTTTAGACGACTCTAGTGTCCCAGAATCAGTATCAGTTTTGCAGTCTGAAAGACCTGGGTTCAAATCCTGCCTCTACCACTATTAGGTTTTGACAAAGAACAATGCATTCTACCTCCTTGAGGTGCTAATTTCCCGTCTTAGCATGGACAAAATACCATCCTTGCTGTCAGGTTTTTTTTAGGATTAAACAAGTGACAAACACCTTGGGAAAAGTGTGGCATACAGCAGGTGGTGGACTCTTCTGTATCTCAGGCTACCTTCCTGCCCCTGAGGGGTTAAAATGCTCTTGAGGCAAAGGAGGGCAGTGGAGAGCAGCCAGGCTGCAGTCAGCACAACTGGGGTCCTGGCTCTGCTGTGGCTTAGGGCAGGCCCCGGTCCCTCTCCAGCCCCAGTCTCCTCCTTCTGTCCAATGAGAAAGCTGGGATCAGGGGTCCCTGAGGCCCCTGTGCACTCTGCATGCCTCGATGGTGAAGCTCTCTTGGCATGGCAGAGGGGAGGCTGCTCAGGCATCTGCATTTCCCCTGCCAATCCAGGGGATAAAGAAAACTCTCAGGAATAGTAAGCAGAATGTTTGCCCTGAATGAATAACTGAGCTGCCAATTCACAAGAGGCAGGGAGCCTTAGACAGGAGGTAACAAATATGCCTGATGCTCCAACATTTTATTTGTAATATCCAAGACACCCTCAAATAAACATACGATTCCAATAAAAATGCACAGTCACGATGGCATCTCTTAGCCTACATCTCCGCGATGTAGAAATTCTGCCTCTTCCTCTAGTTTTGAATTATCTCCACACAGACCTTTTTGGCAGCTTGGATGGTTGGTTTCAGCACCTTTTACAGATGATGAAGCTGAGGCTTGAGGGATGTGTGTCGTCAAGGGGGTTCAGGGCTTCTCAGGGAGGGGACTGATGGCTCCTTTATTCTGCCACACTCTTCCAAACCTTCACCCACCCCTACTGATGCCTACCTTACCCTCTCTCTCCAGGCAAATGGGAGAGACCCTTTGAGGTCGAGGCCACCAAGGAAGAGGACTTCCACGTGGACCAGGCGACCACCGTGAAGGTGCCCATGATGAGGCGTTTAGGCATGTTTAACATCTACCACTGCGAGAAGCTGTCCAGCTGGGTGCTGCTGATGAAATACCTGGGCAATGCCACCGCCATCTTCTTCCTGCCTGATGAGGGGAAACTACAGCACCTGGAAAATGAACTCACCCACGATATCATCACCAAGTTCCTGGAAAATGAAAACAGAAGGTGATTCCCCAACCTGAGGGTGACCAAGAAGCTGCCCACACCTCTTAGCCACGTTGGGACTGAGGCCCGTCAGGACTGACCAGAGGGTTGGAGAGGGTGAACACCACATCCCTGGGTCACTGCTACTCTGCATAAACTTGGCTTCCAGAATGAGGCCACCACTGAGTTCAGGTGGCACCGGCCATGCTCCATGAGGAGGACAGTACCCAGGGGTGAGGAGGTAAAGGTCTCGTCCTTGGGGACTTCCCACTCCAGCGTGGACACTGTCCCTTCCCAATATCCAGTGACCAGGACAGGGACAGCAGCACCACCACCACACGTTCTGGCAGAACCAAAAAGGAACAGATGGGCTTCCTGGCAAAGGCAGTAGTGGAGTGTAGAGTTCAAGGGTAGACTGTCCCTGTGGGGATGGGGGAAGAACCTGTGTGGCTAGGCCCAGAAAAGCAAGGTTCAAAATTGGAATAGCCAGGGCATGTTAGCAAAAGGCTTGAGTTTCTCTGTCACTTTATCGGTGCTGTTAGATTGGGTGCCCTGTAGTAAATGATACTCGAATATGAGTCACACATTAGTGTGTCTGTGTGCATTCGTAATTATGCCCATGCCCTCCTGATCTAGTTTATTTTGTACACTGTAAAACCAAGATGAAAATACAAAAGGTGTTAGGTTCATAATAGGAATTGAGGCTGGAATTTCTTTGTTTCACGCCAGCACCTCCTGAGGTCCCTGCTCCAGGGGTTGAGAAAGAACAAGGAGGCTGAGAGGGTAACTGATCAGAGAGCCAGAGCCAGGCTGCCCGCTCACACCAGACCCTGCTCGGGGCGGCTCTGTCTCCCCATGGAAAACAAGAGGGGAGCACTCAGCCTGGTGTGGTCAGTCTTCTGGTGGCACTGCCACCAGCCCATGTTCCTCTGGGTATAGGGCCCTGGGGATGTTTCAGGCTGGGGGCCCAGTGACCAAACACTACAGGGCAGGATGAGACATGCTTCCAGTACACCTAGAATCTCAGAGGAGGTGGCATTTCAAGCTTTCATGATTCATTTGATGTTAACATTCTTTGACTCAGTGTAGAAGAGCTAATAGTAGAACAAACCAAAGCCAAGTTCCCATGTTAGAGTGGGTGGAGGACACAGGAGTAAGTGGCAGAAATGATCAGAAAAGAAAACACTTGCACTGCGGTGGGTCCCAGAAGAACAAAAGGAATGCTGTGCCATGCCCTGAATTTCTTTTCTGCACGGCAGGTCTGCCAACTTACATTTACCCAAACTGGCCATTACTGGAACCTATGATCTGAAGACAGTCCTGGGCCACCTGGGTATCACTAAGGTCTTCAGCAATGGGGCTGACCTCTCGGGGGTCACGGAGGATGCACCCCTGAAGCTCTCCAAGGTGAGATCACCCTAATGACCCTGTTACACCCCGGGATCTGTAGGGAAGAATGTATGGGGGCTGCAGTTCTGTCCTGAGGCTGAGGAAGGGGCCAAGGGAAACAAATGAAGACCGAGGCTGAGCTCCTGAGGATGCCCGTGATTCACTGACTTGGGACGTGGTCAGACGGCGAAGCCAGGCAGGGGCCTGCTATGCCACTGGCACTTTCAGGGCCTCCCTTGAGGTTGTGTCACCGACCCTGAATTTCATCTTTGCCCAAGACCTTCTAGACATTGGGCCTTGATTTATCCATATTGACACAGAAAGGTTTGGGCTAAGTTGTTTCAAAGGACTTTGTGACTCCTTTGATCTGTGAGATTTGGTGTCTGAATGAATGAATGATGTCAGCTAAAGATGACACTTACTTTGGAAAACTAAAGGTGACCAAAGAACAACTGCAGTTCCGTGAACGGCTGCGTTGTCTTGGGGTCTGGGCACTGTGAAGGTCACTGTCAGGGTCCATGTCCTTGAGGAGCTTCAGGCTGTGTGCTAGAAAGGAGAGAGCCCTGGAGGCAGGCGTGGAGTGGCGATGCTCTTCCCCGTTCTGAGTTGTGGGTGCACCCTGAGCAGGCGCATAGGCGCTTGTCGGGAAGATAGACAGAGGGGAGCCAGCCCTGTCAGCCAAAGCCTTGAGGAGGACCAAGGCCTATGTGACAGGGAGGGAGAGGACGTGCGGGGCCAGGGCCGTGCAGCGGGAGAAAGGCCTGAGTGAACACTTCCTGGGAGGTGTCCACGTGAGCCTTGCTCCAGGCCTGGGCTGGGGCACAATTCAGCCTTAGAACACATCTCTGCTTCTCTCCCTTCCAGGCCGTGCATAAGGCTGTGCTGACCATCGACGAGAAAGGGACTGAAGCTGCTGGGGCCATGTTTTTAGAGGCCATACCCATGTCTATTCCCCCCGAGGTCAAGTTCAACAAACCCTTTGTCTTCTTAATGATTGAACAAAATACCAAGTCTCCCCTCTTCATGGGAAAAGTGGTGAATCCCACCCAGAAATAACTGCCTGTCACTCCTCAGCCCCTCCCCTCCATCCCTGGCCCCCTCCCTGGATGACATTAAAGAAGGGTTGAGCTGGTCCCTGCCTGCATGTGACTGCAAACCCCTCCCATGTTGTCTCTGGGTCTTCCTTTGCCTGCTGAGGCCGTGTGTGGGCTCCAGGTCACAGTGCTCTCTCCGGACCCCCTGAACTGTGTTCATGGAGCATCTGGCTGGGCAGGCATTGCTGGGCCAGGATGGAGGGGGCTGAATCCTCAGCTTACGGACCTGGGCCCATCTGTTTCTGGAGAGCTCCAGTCTTCCTTGTCCTGTTTTGGAGTCCCTAAGAAGGAATCACAGGGGAAGAATCAGATACCAGCCCATGACCCCAGGTTCCTCCAAGCATCTTCATGTCCCCCTGCTCATCCCCCACTCCCTGCCACCCAGAGTTCCTCATCCTGCCAGGGCTGGCTGTGCCCACCCCAAGGCTGCCCTCCTGGGGGCCCAAGAACTGCCTGATCATGCCCTAGCCCTGTTCTGTGATATCTGCAACAACAAAAGAGAGAGGACCGTGTCCTCTTCTTGTCCCACTGTCACCTAACCAGGCTTGGGCCCTGCGCCTCTTGGGCACTTCTGGAAAATGACTGAAGCAGTTTCCTCCTGAAGCCCATTCTCCATGGGGCGACAAGGACACCTATTCTGCCCTTGTCCTTCCATCGCTGCCCCGTAAAGCCTCACATGTCTCAGTTTAGAATCAGGTCCCTTCTCCTCAGATGAAGAGGAGGGTCTCTGCTTCTTTTTCTCTATCTCCTCCTCAGACTCAACCAGGCCCAGCAGTCCCCAGAAGACCATTACCCTATATCCCTTCTCCTCCCTAGTCATGTGGCCATAGGCCTGCTGATGGCTCAGGAAGGCCATCGCAAGGATTCCCCAGCTACGGGAGAGGAAGTATAGCACCCACTGACCCCTGCAACCCCTCTCTTTCTCCCCTGAGTCCTGACTGGGGCCACATGCAGCCTGACTTCTTTGTGCCTGTTGCTATCCCTGCAGTCTTCAGAGGGCAGCCACAGCTCCAGTGCCATGGAAGGAGGCTATTCCTGAATAGCCCTTGTGGTAAGGGCCAGAAGGGTCCTTCCATCCTCCAAGGCTCTGCTAAAGGGCACAGCAGCCAGGAGGTCCCCTGAGCCCCCAGCTGAAGGACAGGCTGCTCCCTCTGTCTCTACCAGGAATTGCCTTGTCCTGTGGAAGGCACTGACCCATCCCAAACTAATCTTGGAATCCCTGTCTAACCACTCACTGTCATGAATGTGTGCTTAAAGGATGAGGTTGAGTCATACCAAATAGTGATTTTTGTAGTTCAAAATGGTGAAATTAGCAATTCAACATGATTCAATCTAATCAATGGATACCAACTGTTTCCCACACAAGTCTCCTGTTCTCTTAAGCTTACTCAGTGACAGCCTTTCACTCTCCACAAATACATTAAAGATATGACCATCACCAAGTCTCCTAGGATGACACCAGACCTGAGAGTCTGAAGACCGGTATCCAAGTTCTGACTCTTCCCCCTGCCAGCTGTGTGACCTTCATGAAGTCACCAAACCTCTCTGAGCCACAGTCATGGCCAGTAAGACCTGCCTTTCAGTTGGTACGATGTTCAAGTCAGATAATAAAACAACGTTTACACCTATTAGAGCAGAGAATAAATAGAACTACATTTCTTGCATTGATGAGCTTTCTGTGAATCAGACATCCCTGTGAAGAACCTCCCTGGCTATTTCTCATTTAATCACTGTAGCAGCACTGTGATGTGTGAGTAGATCCACTGTGCTCTTAAACTCCAAATCTACACATGAGGAAACTGAGGCTCAGAGAAACTGCTGGTCTCCCACAGTGTCACATAGTTCATAAGTGGCAAAGCTGGCTTGATGGGCTACTCGTTCCTCTGAACCACACCACCTCACCACACTCTCCCCTTCGAGGGTCATGCTAAACTTCTGCAGAGCTAATTCCTCCTTAAACCATAAGAGTTGCTGGTGGCCCACAGCTCACGCCTAGCACGCTTCACGAGAAAAACGCCCTCCACCCAATGTGGAGCAGGCCCTGAGTTGAAGGTGACGAGCAGAAGCTCATCCACCAGATGTTGACACAGCCCGCGGCCTTGGGCGACCCACAGGACTCCTCTTATTTAACTGGCATTTGGTAGGAGAACAGGGGCAGAGTCAAAGACAAGTGGGCTTTCTGGAGCAGCCAGGACAGGGAAGGAGGCTGCAGTGTTGAGGGCATCACCTTAGACACCATTGTTTTACTTTGAAGAATCGTCTGTCACACACGAGTTGACAGTCTGGTTGGGAGAGACTCCATTCAAACTAGCATAAGCTCCCAGAGGAATTCCTGGGCCCCCGTCGAATCAACAGGGATCAGTCAGGGGTGGGCAGAGCGTCATGACAACCTCATTAGGAGGAAGACAAATACATGCCACAAGTCCGTGAGGCAACAGCCATAAGACCTCAGCTTCACTGTATCTTCCAGAGTTTTTTAAAAAGTGTATTCACTGTCTAATGTGATCCTCCAGACAGGTCCTGCAGGACTCAGCCTAGGAATCATTATCCCCAAAATACACATGGGGAAACTGAGGCCCAGCAGGTCAAATGCTCTGTCCAGTGTGGGCCTGGAAGGCAGGACTTCTCCACTCTTAGGCCTGGCTGTCCCCAACTGCACACACTTCCTCAGTCCATATGGGATCACGATAAAAACTCCATCCTCCAGAATCGCACTGCGTCAACCTGCTGTGCTCTAACAGCAGCTGAAGGCCGAGCTGCGGGGCATCCTGGGTGTTCTGAGTCAGTTTCCCACTGCAGGCAGGAACCTCATCCTGCTCTGAAACAGATGAGAGGGAAACACAGAAAACAGCTTCGAGCTCAGCCGGGAACCTCAGAGTCATGACCTTTTACCCCACCTAGGAGTTTGCAGGGGACAGAACACACGAATTTGAGATTTTACGCCTAAATAAAGGAAGCCTTGGTTTGAAGTGCAAGCTTTGCCAGACAGGGGGCACCCTGTGAGCCCCATTTGTTAAGAGGACAATAGTCAGGGAGCTTCTAGGTTCTCACACCAGAAATGGGAAATACAGATTATACATTGATCTCCTTCCCAGGAGCAACTTGATCCTCCCATAAATCCGAGCAGGGAGCATTTATTCAAACAACAAACAAGCAAACAGGAGCTGCGTATGGGGGATAGAGAGATGAAACCCAGGTCCGTCCCTGGGAGAATGCTGGTCTACGGCGGTGGGGAACGGTGAATAAATGAGGCGTGCGTTGATGGATCTGGGTGGAGAGGGTCAGGCTGCAACCCGGGACCTTTCCAGAGGCGTGAGAAATGGTCAGTATACATCCGCAGATGACCGCAAACACCCCAAGGGCTCCTTGAAAGGCTGAGGCCTTTGTGTTGTTCTTGGTTGGAAAATTCACAGGCAGTGGAGTGAACAAGGCACACGGCAGGACTCAGAGCCAGGGACAGCTTCTGCAGGACAAATGGAACGACCCTGAGTAAAGAAGTCAGAGAAGGGCACCCTCACTGAGGCAAACTCCCTCCCCAGCAGGGACCCAGCAGCAACCCAAAAAAGCAGGAGTCTCACTTCTGCATCATATGGGAGAGGGCAGGCTGTGTGATCTCAGTGAAGTTCCTCAACTTCTCTGTGCCATAGTTTCCTCATCTGCAAAATATAAATTGAATTTGAGTCTCAATGAAATGTCTTATTTCTCTAAAGTTCCTTGTCCTTGTCCCATGCAGCCTAGAAATCTTCCTCTGGCCTAGTTGTGGAGCCGAGGATAGACCGGGCCTGAATCTCACATTGCTGGAGATGGTGAAGCTGACCAGCATGAGAGGTCAGGTTTTAGAAGCCCAAATCCCAACAGGCATAAGCCTCACCCTCCAATATCAGCTTTATCAGAAACAAAAAAATAACATGTCGTATCCATTTGTCCTTTTCCTTAAATGGATGGCACTTGGGCAGGGCAGAGGGGCTGATTATCCAAGCTGGGAAGACGCTGACAGCAGACGCTTCAATGGCAGGCTAGGAGTTTTCTGATAACTGTCACTGGTATCACACTTACTATTGAAATCGTGACATCAGGAATGATGAAAGGAACTAGAGTCAGATGGTCTGGAGCAGGGAAGTGAGGAGCTAAAACCTCCTTCAGCCTGGTTGCTGTGTCCCCAGGGTGGGTAAAGCCCCTCTGTTCATCCCACATGGAACAAATAGAGTGGGTGAGGAATCAGTCCTTGCTAAAGGGTTGAAGAACTGAGCTGTCAGCTTTTTGACTGCTGCAGCACAATTCTTGCCCGTCCTGACTGATATAACCAGAATTCATGAAATGCATCAAATAAGCCTTCACCTACTATGCAAGCCTGGGAGGGTGACTAAGATCTGAAAAACACAAGGAAAGCTAAAGGAACTCCCACAAGGAAACCCCATTAGAAAGTTCTAGTTACAAGGTACTCAGCACAGGCTGTGCAGAAATAAGCCCAGATCCGGTGGTGAGCAGGACAGGGTGGGGAGGTGAGTGCTGAGCCACACAGGAGAAACTAATAGAGGCTCAAGCCAGCAAGGGGACGGCCACCACCCCACGCAGTGTTGGCCAACAGCTTCCAGGGGCATTTGCTCTCAGAAGTCAAAGTTGATTTTCCAGAATTGAAGTGCTCACTGTTTGGGATGATTTAGGAACAACACCTGCAAAAACGAATGAACAATCAGGGCTAATAGAATTGTGTTTAAACTCTGTTGGGCTTCCTTGACAGAGGGCACGGGGAGCAAACAAAGTCAGCAGTGTGTATTAAGTAAAAAAACTTTTTTTTCCTTTTAATTGGCAGTTAATACCCGCAAAATATGTTCTGAGATTGATCAAGTAAGTGTCCTTCAGCATTAAAATATTAGGATGAAGTTGCTAAGGGTTTCTTAGCAAAGTGGAAAGAACGCAGGAATCCCAACTCCACCATCTCCTTAGCGTGCAATCCTGAGTGGGCTGTTACAGCTGTCTGTGCCTCAGCGCCCTCACCTGCAAGACAGGTAAAATAATACCTAACTCCTAGGTTACTTTCGTGGATTAATGTGCAAAGCGTCACCCTAAAAAAGTGCTGCTACTTAAATGACCATCAAACATGAATGAATACTGTAGATTCCAAAACTATTAGTTGAGTGGTGTGGCTACCTTCTTCCAATGCCCAATGCTCTGGCAAGGAACTAACAGAGGAATAAATTACAGATAATCACGCGTTTGTTACCAGTGATCCTGAGCTGGGAGTCAGCCTGGGATCTTTTACCAGGTCTACCAGTAATGTGCCACCTGACACTGGGAACATCCCCTCCCCGAGCCTCAGTTTCCTCACCAGAGAATGTGAGCATTGAGGTCCCTGGAGTCCTGACAGTCTGTAGAGCTCTAAGGGCTTCAGGCCGGCCCCACGTCAGCCTTTCACCTGTGTGCCCTGTGCCCACGCCTGATCTGGGGCAGGGGAGGCACAGAGAAAGGGCCCGGGCTGCTCTGAAAAATCACACCTCACATTGAGACCGACGCATGGAGACTGCGGCAGAAGCAGCAGAGATGAGGACCCCGTGTGAGTCCCCTGTGGCTGCCGTAGCTGATTGCCACGAGCTCCGTGGTTTCCAATAGAAATGCATTCTCTTACAGTTCTGGAGGCGAGAAATCCAGAACAGTGTCACTGGGACAAGGTCAGAGTGTCAGGAAGGCCGAGTGCCCTTGGAGACTCTAGGGGATGTGCCACTTCCTCCTCTTGCAATTTCTGGTGGCTGTTGGCATTGCTTGATTAGTTGCCCCTCCAGTGGCGGACTCTGTTGTCACACTGCCCCCTCTTCCTCCATCTCTGTCAGGTCTCCCTCCCCCTTCCCCTCAGGAGGATACCTGCAATAGCATTTAGGGCCCACCTGGATTGTCTTCTCCTATCAAGATCCTTAATGACACCTGCAAGACATTTCGCCCATAGATGGTAACATGTCTCTGGGGGGCGCTGTTGAGCCTGTAGAAGGCCCTTCTTTACCAGTGAGGGGATGATGGGGCCGGAAGTGGGAAGGAATGAAATGAGTGTGAAGGAAGCGCCACCAGGGAGAGCTGTGGAAGCCCAACCCAGACCGCACTGGGATGTCGGGAAGGGCCAAGGTGCAGAAGGAGAAGGAAGAGGGTTGGAGGTGGAGGGCCAGCAGCACCAAAGCTCCGAGCCAGGGAGAACCTCCCCCACCAGGGGACGGAGAGAAATAGTGGGGTCGCTCTCTCAGGGAATGGCACAGCAGGGCCAGGGCCAGATCTGGAGGTGGGTGTGCCCCCTGGGGGGTGCAGACTCACAGCCCCTCCAACAGGGAGCCTCTCCAGGTGAGAGCAAAGTGGAAAAGAGGGCAAAACCCTGACTATCAGGCAGATTCTGCAGCAAAAATGACTTCAGAGGTGACCTGTGTGTAGCCTCAGGAACAGGATATAGGTGGCCTTTGTAAGCTCACCCTGCAATGGTGTCTGGGTCCCATGTCCCCTGTTCCAGACAGAGACAGGCCTTGACCTCCTGAGGAGGGGCAGCAGGAGGACAGGCCCCTCGCTGAGCCTGGAGTCTCTCTATACAGCAGGCACCTTCTCCCGAGCACTCCCACCACTAATGTTTCATTCTATTCCTTCCCCCGGGGCACAGCTGCGATTTCTCTCTTAGCCCAGGGAAAGGAATACAACAGACTGCCTTATACTGAAGTGAACATGGCTGACCCCGGCTTATTGGGAGCCCCTCCCAAGGGGCAGGTGCTCATTCTCATTATCTTCTCCATCAAGGTGGCTAAGAATGTTTGCAGTTTCTTACAACTCACAAAGCACTGTCTTAGAAGCTATGTCCCCATGAGGGGAGGTAGGGCAGGTATTATCAGGTTCGCTTACAGGTGGTTAACAGAGGGTCAAAGAAATCGGTGATTTGGGGAGCTCACAGAGCTGCTAGGACATGTAGCCTGGCGTCAGTCACCGCAGGACGGCCCACCCTGGCCTGAGTGCAGGCGGAATGCTGTGACACTGAGTGACGTGGACAAGCCACCATCCTGAGCCTCCCGCTCTCGTTAGCAGAGAATCACTGTCCTTGGCCTGCCGAACAGGGTGTCTGCAGGTGACCGCGAGGGTCACAGCAACAGCTTCCCTCCCTGCCAGGCCCGGGCCCTGAGGTGTTGGAGGTCAGGTGTGTGGCCTTTTGTGGTGTCTGTATGGCCCAGGAGGAGAGAGGCTCCACCGTGTGTGTGTGGGGGGGGGGGGGGCATCTGAGTATCTGTGTCTCGGTGTGATGTTATATGTCAATGTGTCTCTGTGTGTGTGTGTGTCTCTGTGTGTTGGTGCATAACTGTAATATCTTTCCTTGTTTGTGTGTGTGTCTGTGAGTGTGTGTGCCTGAGTGCACACCTGTCTCTGTCTCTAGGTGTTTCTATCTAGACTGAGGATGTGTCTATGTGTTTCTGTGATTGTGTGTCTCTGAGTCGGTGTGTGTCTGTGACTGTGTTACATGAAACAGAAGCAGATGTAGTGAGAATGAGGGGGTCTAACTCTCTTTATCCTGAAACAAGGACCCCTCACTGGAGTGGAGAGAACCAGTCTTTCCCAGTCACACCCAGGAGACTTTGGGTGGTGCTTGGCAGCTGGTGTCACCACCCTAAGTGCCCACACAAATGGGCTATGGAGCCAGAGCAGCAAGGATTCCAGCTCCTGGTGAGAGATTCCCAGGCCAGGGTCTTGGTAGACACAAGCCTGGTGACTTCAGGCAGCTGGCAATTACTGGGCATCCTCCAAGGGTCGGGCACCGTTCCAGGCCCCTAGCGTGTACGAATTCCTTGACTCCTCTCCTCACTTCTCAGAGTGCGTGTCAAGGAGAGAGGAACCCGGATCTTGGATGGCCATGGGGCTTCCTTCCACCCACACTCCCACATGGCTGCACAGCACAGGCTGGTTCTGCTGGACTGAGCCCATCCAGGGAAGAACAGCGAGACCCTTGGGTGAGATCGGACTCACTGGAGACAAACACCTTGACAGGAGCTGGAGGAGCCCCAGGCTGTTTTCCAGGACAGAGGGTTCCTGGACACAGGCACTGAGCATCCCCACCCCCCACCCCGAGACTGGCCCATGAGCACGAGAAGCCCTGAGAGTGCGTGGGGGTGGCCTGTGTGCAAGGCAGCGCAGCGAACCTCTCTACAGAACCCACAGGCTGCGCTGGGTGAGGAGTTCTCCCTCAGCCTCCTCTGGAGCTGACACTGGAGAGAGCACCGTGAACCTCCCTGCCTGGATTATTGTCTGCACTTCACACAGGAGGAAACTGAGGCACACAGAGTTTTAACTCCTCTTGGCCAGAGCGAGGATTTGAACCCAGGCGTCTGAACCTTGGTGATCCTGAGGGGCAGAGTAAGTTGGGAGATGGAATTGCATCTTTTACAAAGTGCCCAGCACAGGGTGGGCCCCTACAGAGGGTAAGAGCTGGGGGACTCAGTCAGGTGTGATTTGCCCCTTCTCCTGCCCTCCCCAGGCTGGGACTCCCCTGTGGAGTCCTCGTGTTCACCTGTGTCTCCAACTGTAGAGGCGAAAAGGATTCAGCCTTAGGGATGCCCCCTTGCTCTCCATCAGTGACTTTCCTGCCTCAGCCTCCCAGGTAGCTGGCATTACAGGCATGCACCACCAAGCCCAGCTAATTTTTTTTTTTTAATAGAGACCGGGTTTCACCATGTTGGTCAGGCTGGTCTTGAACTCCTGACCTCAGCTGATCCACCCGCCTTGGCCTCCCAAAGTGCTGAGATTACAGGCATAAGCCAACGCGCCCAGCCAGGCTCTCTTTTTCTGACCCTACTCCTTCAAACCTCCAGCCTGAGCCAGAGTCCGAGACCCTGGTGGACCTCACGGCCACTCCCTAAGGGTCTCAGAGGAGGAGGGGTGCTCTTTTAGCTCTGGCCCTTCAGAGCTTGTTACCCAGATTCCAGAGGACACCGTGTCCTCTCCCCACTGCCCTCTGGACCCCACCTTCCTGCCCCCAGGGGCCTCTGCCCTTGAGCGCTTGGTTAGAACTTCTGGCCCAAAAGGGCGAGGTGAATTCATTAACTTCTCTGATGGCCTGAGGACCATTTCAGTCCCCTCTTCCCTCTCTCCTACCTGGTTCATGGTCCCCTCCTCTACCTGCTGGGGCCCTCACAGGTCCTGAAGGCTTTGCGAGTTCGAAACCCAGCCCTCTCCTCCCCTTCTGAGGCCCCTTCCCATTGTCCAGCTTCATATTTACATTGATTCCACTTCACTCTCCCAATATTCCCATTTCAAAAGGAAGATGGAGAGGTGGAAATCTTTTTCCGAGGTCATATCGTTGGTGAGTGACGGAGCCTGGATGAGAAGCCAGGCCTGTTGTCACCACTTCCTCTCCCACACACTCATGTTTTTCTGGAGAGATCAACCTCTCCGGGTCCTGTATTGCTGTTAGGCCCAGGGCTGGAACCAGCAATACCTCAGTCTCCCCTGAGCTGACAGCAGGTGCCTCAGCCCATGTGTGTGGCAGGGACCCCTGACCCATAGTGGGGCAAGTCCAGGCCAGGCTGCAGGGGCTGGGGCACAGGTTCCTCTGTGGGCACAGCCCCTGACTCTCCCTGGGGGCTGTCGTTAAGCCCTGGGTCCAGGAGGAACCTTATGGATGTCAGAGCTCCATCATGTCAGTGAGGAGAGTGGCTGTAGGTTCCTGAGACCCGGGACAGCAGGCACAATGCAATCCTGGGGACCCTAAACAGGGCCCCCATCCCAGAGGAATGGACACCCCACACGGCCTGGGCCCAGGCAGATTCAGCTGGGCCTCACTTGACTTAAGTCCAGTCTGAAAGGAGAGAAGCTTCTGTCCAATCAGGCAAGAGGAGACCTTCAAGACAGCCAGGGTGATCTGAGCCCCCACCACAGGGGAGCTCCACAGGAGGCAATTAGCAAGGCCAGGGGATGGTTTGTCATCATCCCTGTGAGTTGAGGGTCACTACATGACTGTGGTTTTATTGAGAATGTTGTCAAACATCCTAGGATGCACGGCAGAGTCCCCCACAGCATAGCACTGCCCAGCCCAGTATGTCCACACGGCCAGGATCAGGAGCCCTGACGTCCTCCGGGTCTGGCCAAGAGCAGTAGCCAAGGTCCCAGCCTCTGAGGAGGCGGTATTACAGCTCTACGCAGAGCACTTGGCCAGCAGTTGGTGGCCTGTCGGCTCCTGGTTCTGCCTGACCAACTGTGTGGCCTTGAACAAGTTACTGAACCGCTCTGAGTTCACCTTTCCCATCCTACGAAAATGAACAAGTTACTGAACCCCTCTGAGTTCACCTTTCCCATCCTATGAAAATAGAAATTACAAGACATACCTTTAGACGAAAGGCAAAGTCTGCGATTGCCTCTAGAAACAGGGCTGTCCTGTGCTTTAATCAGCAGCATTCCCCAGGCCAAGAATGCCACAGGGAGCAGACAATTATCAAACCAGGCTCCAGGGTCCTGTAAGGTGAAGGCTATTGTGGCTGGGAGGAGAGGGAGAGGCGTGAAGTGTGTGGAATCTGGGGAGAGCCTAGGCAGAAATCAGGCAGGCTGGGTTTACACAGCGCCTCTGAGCTCTGGCTGTGTGCCACGGCACAGTATCCTGTCCCTCTGGGGACAGAGCTTCTTTGTCCATTAAATAAGGGAGGTCAATGGAGATCTCCAAGGACTGTTGTGGTGTGCAGAAGTCATTGCTGATCCTGACTTAACCCACTTCCTTAGTAACCCTGAGCAAGTTCCTTACGCTTCCTGTGCCCCCGTTTCCTGTTTTCTAAAATGGGGGCTGGACGCCGTGGCTCATGCCTCTAATCCCAGCATTTTGGGAGGCCAAGTAGGGAGGATCACTTGAGGTCAGGAGTTTGAGACCAGCCTGGGCAACATGACGAAACCCTGTCTCCATTAAAATACAAAAAATTAGCCTGGCATGGTGTGCACACCTATAATCCCCGCTACTTGGGAGACCGAGGCAGGAGAAATGCTTGAACTCGGGAGGCGGAGGTTTCAGTGAGCCGAGGTCATGCCACTGCGCTCCAGCCTGGGTGATAGAGCTAGATTCTGCCTCCAAAAAAATGAAATAATATGAAATAAAACAAAATGGGGCTGTGGCACTTGCACCTCAAGGTTATTACAGAGTTAAGTGGAGCTGCAGAGAGCAAGGACTCAAGACCCAGCTGGCCAAGCTGAGGGATGCTGGCTTTTCCTGTTTGCTGACCTTGGGCATGAGCCTAACCTCCCTGGGCTTTGGTTTCCTCATCTGTAAAAGGAGGATAGTAGCATTACCACCTCACAGGATTGTTACAAGAAAGCAATGAGTTAACACACGTGTGTGCTTAGAACAGTTCTTGGCATATGCTAAGCACCTTGTACATGCTTGCTATCTTTCTGATTCTTTCAATGGTGATGGTGTAGGAAAGTGCTTGCAACGGGCTGGGCGCATGGTGGATGTTTAATAATTCATGGTTGCATTCACACGATGTCAGTCCCTGGTCACTGGGAGTCATCCTGTGCCCTGACTTCTGTGCCTGGCCTTCTGTCTCTGTCTTGCAGGACAATGCCATTCTCTGTCTCACGGGGCGTCCTCCTGCTGGCAGGCCTGTGCTACCTGGTCCCCAGCTCCCTGGCTGAGGATCCCCAGGAAGATGCTGCCCAGAAGACAAATACATCCCACCATGATCAAGGGGACTGGGAGGACCCTGCTTGCCAGAAGATCTCCTATAATATCATCGACCTCGCCTTTGATTTGTACAAAGAGCTGGCTGATCTATCACAAACCAGCAATATCTTAGTCGCCCCAACGAGCGTGGCTATGGCCTTTGTAATGCTCTCCCTGGGGACTAAGGCTGACACTCGCACGGAGATCCTGGAAGGCCTGAATTTCAATCTCACGGAGACGCCTGAGGCCAAGATCCATGAATGCTTCCAGCAAGTTCTCCAAGCCAGGCCAGACACCCGGCTCCAGCTGACCACCGGCAGTAGCCTGTTTGTCAACAAGAGTGTGAAGCTAGTGGACACGTTTTTGGAGGATATCAAGAAAATGTACCACTCAGAAGCCTCCTCCATCAACTTCAGGGACACCGAGGAGGCCAAGGAGCAGATGAACAACTATGTGGAGAAGAGAACTGGAAGAAAAATAGTGGATTTGGTCAAACATCTGAAAAAAAACACAAGTCTTGCCCTGGTGGATTACATTTCCTTTCACGGTAAGGTGGCAACACCTGCCCAAGCCCGTTCCACTGAAATAATCCAAACATATTCTCAAACTACCAGTTCTTAAGCTTTCCTAGACAACGTACTGTGAGATATGGCAGGGCAGGGCATTTAACATGGATTCTGCAATTTTCCAAACACAAACAGTAAAATACTTTCCATGATCAAATAAGACTGAAGAATGATGAGTTCAAGACAGCCAAACCATCATCTTCCCTACAGACCTTGTCAGAGCCTTTATTGTCCTAATACTCATTAGAAATCCCTAACAGGTAGAGGACAGAATATGAAATGCTTCTCACATGCTAAAGCCAGAAAAATGTTTTGTGGCACATGCATAAAGGGATAGTTCCATGGAAACATACTTTAGACGGCTCTAGTGTCCCAGAAGCAGCATCAGCTTTGTGGTCTAAAATATTGGGGATCAAACCCTGCCTCTACCACTTACAAGCTTTTGATAAAGGACAATGCATTCTACCTCTCCGAGGTGCTAATTTCCCATCTTAGCATGGACAAAATAGCATCCTTGCTGTCAGGTTGTTTTAAGGATTAAACAAGTGACAAAGACCGTGGGGACAGTATGTGGCATACAGCAGGTGATAGACTCTTCTGTATCTCAGGCTGCCTTCCTACCCCTGAAGGGTTAAAATGTCCGGGTCCTGGGGGCCCCAGGGCATTCTAAGCCAGCTCCCACTGTTCCAGGAAAACAGCACAGGGGAGGGGAGGTGGGAGGCAGGGCCAGGGGCTGCTTCCTCCACTCTGAGGCTCCCTTGCTCTTGAGGCAAAGGAGGGCAGTGGAGAGCAGCCAGGCTGCAGTCAGCACAACTGAGGTCCTGGCTCTGCTGGGGCCTTAGGGCAGGCCCCCATCCCTCTCCAGCCCCAGTCTCCTCCTTCTGTCCAATGAGAAAGCTGGGATCAGGGGTCCCTGAGGCGCCTGCCCACTGGGCATGCCTCGATGGTAAAGCTTTCTTGGTATGGCAGAGGGGAGGCTGCCTAGGCACCTGCGTTTCCCCAGCCGCTCCAGGGAAAGGCCTCAGGAGTAGTAAAGCAGAATATGTCCTCGTATCTCGAGGGAGCCAGCCCTCTGCATGAGACAGGAAGCCTCCAGCCAGAGGTGGCAAGGCATAAGGAGTTCTGGTTTTGCTCATTAACCTTCATTAACCATTCCCAAGCCACTATAGGATAAACAGAGTCAAATATAAATGCTGCTTAGAAACTCTGGATTCTTCCTTATCTTCAGGTGATCCTCACAAAAGCTCTCCAGCAGCCGGATAGTTTCATTTGAATCCCATTTTACAGAGGATGAAGGTGAAGCAGAGGGAAGTGTCTCGTCAAAGGGGCTCAGGGTTCCTTTCATTCACACACTTCCACCCTTTTATCGCATACCTGCATGATGCCCACCTTCCTTTTTTTCCCAGGCAAATGGAAAGATACATTCAAGGCTGAGCGCATTACGATAGAGGGCTTCCATGTGGATGATAAGACCATCATCAAAGTGCCTATGATAAACCACCTGGGCAGATTTGAGATCCACCGGGACAAGGAGTTATCCAGCTGGGTGCTGGCACAGCACTATGTGGGGAACGCCACTGCCTTCTTCATCCTGCCCGACCCAAAGAAGATGTGGCACTTGGAAGAGAAACTGACCTACAGCCACCTTGAAAATATCCAGAGAGCCTTTGACATAAGGTGATTTCCAGTTCAGGGGCTGAGCTCAGACCTTTGAGCCATGTCAGGAGTGAGGCCCATCAGGACTGGCCAGAGGGCTGGGGAGGGTGGACTCCACATCCCTGGGTCACAGCTACTGCAGCCAACAGAGGCCACCACTGAGTTCAGGTAGCGCCATCCATGGTCCATAAAGAGGTAAAGGTCTTGTCACTCCAGCGTGGACACTCTCACTTCCCAATATCCAGTGCCCAGGGCAGGGACAGCAGCACCACTACACATTCTGGCAGAACCAAGAAGGAACAGATGGGCTTCCTGGCAAAGGCAGCAGGGGAGTGTGGAGTTCAAGGGTAGAATGTCCCTGTGGGGATGGGGGAAGAGCCTGTGTGGCTAGACCCAGAGAAGCAAGGGTCGGAATTGGAACAGCCAGGGCATGTTAGCAGAAGGCTTGAGTTTCTCTGTCACTTTATCGGTGCTGTTAGATTGGGTGCCCTGTAGTAAATGATGCTTGAGCATAAGCCACACATTAGTGTATCTGTGCATTCGTAATTATGCCCACGTCCTCTTGATCTGGTTTATTTTTATTTTTACACTGTAAAACCAAGATGAAAATACGAAAGGTCTCAGGTTCATAATAAGTATGGAGGCTGGAATTTCTCTGTCCCATGCAAACGCCTCCTGAGGTCCCTGCTCCAGGGGTTGAGAAAGAACAAGGAGGCTGAGAACAAGGAGGCCAGGTGACCCAACTCTACAGGATGAGACACGCTGCCAGGACACCTAGAATCTGCCTGGAGGACTTCTCAAAGGAGGTGGCATTTCAAGCTGCCTTAACAAGATGATTAGTTTGGTATTAACATTCTTTGATTCTGGGTATAGAGGAGCTCAAAGAAAAACAAACCAAGGTCAACTTCCGATTGCTTTATTTGATTTTACTTTTAACTTTTCTTTTAGGTTCAGGGGTCCATGTACAGGTTTGTTATATAGGTAAACCCTGGGGGTGTGTTGTGTAGATTATTTCGTCACCCAGGTACCACGCATAGTACACAATAGTTATTTTCTCTGATCCTCTCCCTCTGACTTCTGATCTTGATATGGGTGAGGACACGGCACTAAGTGGTAGAAACAGTCAGGAAAGAAAGCCCTGGTACTGTGGTGGGTTCCAGAAGAACAGGAGAAATGCTGCTCCATGCCTTGATTCTCTTTCCTGCATGGCAGGTCTGTCAGTCTACATTTTCCCAAACTGTCCGTTTCTGGAACCTACGAACTCAAGAATGTCCTCAGGAATCTGGGCATCATCAAGATCTTCAGCAACGAGGCCGACCTCTCTGGAGTCAGTCAGGAGGCACCCCTGAAACTCTCCAAGGTGAGGTCACCCAGAAGACCGTGTCGTCCCCTGGTGTCGGCTGGCAGATTGTGTGGCAGTCACAGTTCCATCCTGAGGCTGAAGAAGGGGCTAAGAGACACAAATGAAGATCCAGGCTGAGCCCTGAGGATGCCCGAGATTCACTGAGACGGGCCACAGTCAGACGGCGGAGCTGGGGAGGTGCCTCCTGTGCAGCTGGCACTTTCAGGGCCTCGCCTGCTATTGTGTCACTGACCCTTTGCCCAGGACCTTCTAGTTCTGGGCCTTAATTTATCCATACTGATACAAAAAAGCTTAGGCTCAGTCATTTTGAAAGCCTTTCTGGCCCCTTTCATCTGTGAGGTTTGGAGTTTTTGGTGCATCACCAAGCCTGAATCAATGAATGATTTGAGCAAAAGATGACACTAATTTAGGAAAACTAAAGGTGACCAAAGAGCAACTGCAGTTCCGTGAATGGCTGCATTATTTCGGGGTCTGGGCACTGTGAAGGTCACTGTCAGAGTCCACGTCCCCAAGTAGCTTAAAGCCGGGTACTAGAAAGGAGAGAGCCCTGGAGGCAGACGTGCAGCGGGGAGTTGTGGGTGCATCCTGAGCAGGGGAGAGGCACTTGTAGGGAAGGCGGACGGCGGGGAGCCAGCCCCATCACCCAGAGCCTTGATGGGGAGCAAGGCCTGTGTGACAGGGAGAGAGAGGACGTGGAGGGTCAGGGCCACCCGAGTGGAGAAAGGCTGGAGTGAGTGCCTCACCTCCCAGGATACGGCTGTCCACATGGGCGTTGCTCCAGGCCTGGGCTGGGGCAAAGCTCAGCCTCGGAATGTATCTCTGCTTCTCTCCGCTCCAGGCTGTGCATGTGGCTGTGCTGACGGTTGATGAGAAAGGGACCGAAGCCACCAGAGCCCTCCATTTGGAAGAGAAGGCCTGGTCTAAGTATCAGACAATCATGTTCAACCGGCCCTTCCTGGTCATCATCAAGGATGACGTCACCAACTTTCTGCTCTTCATTGGAAAAGTGGTGAATCCCACCCAAAAATAACTGCCTGTCACTCCTCAGCCCCGCCCCTCCATCCCTGGCCTCCTCCCTGGATGCCATTAAAGAAAGGCTGACCTCTCCCCTGCCTGCGTGTGATTGCAAACCCCTCCCCTGTTGTTTCTGAGTCTCCCTTTGTGCGCTGAGGCCGTGTGTGGACTCCAGGTCACAGTGCTGTCTCCGGGCCCCCTCAACTGTGTTCATGGAGCACCTGGCTGGGCAGGCAAGCGCTGGGCCAGGATGGAGGGGGCTGAATCCTCAGTTTAAGGGCCTGGACCTGGGAGCTTATGGAAGAGCAAGGGGCTACCAGGAGTGGCCACCAAGTGTGGGTCACCCGGAGAGAGCCTGGGCCTGAGTGCTAGGAGAACGCTGTGGCACTGTGTGACCCAGAGAAGCCACATTGCTGAGCCTCCTGTTCTCACAGGCAGCATGAGGAGAGAACGTCCCCACCCTGTGAGTGCAAAGCAGGCTGTCAGAGGCGTCGGCGGGGCCCCTGCCACACCTTCCCTCCCCGCCAGGCCCTAACCCAGGGGTCCGGGAAGCCAGATGTGCAGCCTTTGGTGGCGTCCATGTGGCCCAGAGTGAGAGGGGCTCCACCGTGTGTGTGTTTGTGCGTGTCTGTGTGTGTGTGTGTGGCTGCGTGGGTGTGTCTCTGTGTGTGTGTGTGTCTCTGTGTGGGTATGTCTGTTTGTGTCTATGTGTGGGTCTCTGTGTGTGTCTGTGTATGTGTGTGTCTCTGTGTGTGGCTGTGCGTCTCTCTGTGTGTGCATCTGTGTGTATGTGTGTGGTTGCGTGGGTATGTCTGTGTGTGTATGTGTCTCTGTGTGGGTATGTCTGTGTGCGTGTGTCTCTGTGTGTGTCTGTGTGTCAGTGTCTGTGAGTGTGTGTGTTTGTGTCTGTGTATCTAGGTATTTCTGTCTTTGTGTGTGTCTGCATATGGCTGTGGATATGTATGTGTGTGTCTGTGCGTTTGTGTGTTTGTGTGTCCCTGAGTCAATGTGTGTCTAAGTCTGTGTGTCTGTGTGTCTGAGTCTATGTGTGTTAGGGTCCCTAGGTGTTCCTGTGTGCTTGTAGGTGGTTGTGGGTGAGGCTGTGTGTGTGATGTTTCTCTGTTTGTGTGAGTGTGTGTCTGAGTCTAGATGTGTCTGTGTGTCTAGGTGTTTCTATCTAGACTGAAGATGTGTCTGCGGCTGTGAGTGCGTCTGTGTGTGTGTGTGTTTCTGTGATTGTGTGTCTCTGAGTCGGTGTGTGTCTGTGACTGTGTTACATGAAACAGAAGCAGATGTAGTGAGAATGAGGGGGTCTAACTCTATCCTGAAACAAGGATCCCTCACTGGGGTGGAGAGAACCAGTCCTTCCCAGTCACACCCAGGAGACCTTGGGTGGCGCTTGGCAGCTGGTGTCACCACCCTAAGTGCCCACACAAACGGGCTATGGAGCCAGAGCAGCAAGGATTCCAGCTCCTGGTGACAGATTCCCAGGCCAGAGTCTTGGTAGACACAAGCCTGGTGACTTCAGGCAGCTGGCAATTACTGGGCATCTTCCAAGGGTCGGGCACGGTTCCAGGCCCCTAGCGTGTACGAATTCCTTGACTCCTCTCCTCACTTCTCAGAGGGCATGTCAAGGAGAGAGGAGCCCGGATCTTGGATGGCCATGGGGCTTCCTTCCACCCACACTCCCACATGACTGCACAGCACAGGCTGGTTCTGCTGGACTGAGCCCATCCAGGGAAGAACAGCGAGACCCTTGGGTGAGATCGGACTCACTGGAGACAAACACCTTGACAGGAGCTGGAGGAGCCCCAGGCTGTTTTCCAGGACAGAGGGTTCCTGGACACAGGCACTGAGCATCCCCACACCCCCCGAGACTGGCCCATGAGCACGAGAAGCCCTGAGAGTGCGTGGGGGTGGCCTGTGTGCAAGGCAGCGCAGCGAGCCTCTCTGCAGAACCCACAGGCTGCGCTGGGTGAGGAGTTCTCCCTCAGCCTCCTCTGGAGCTGACACTGGAGAGAGCACCGTGAGCCTCCCTGCCTGGATTATTGTCTACACTTAATATAGAAGGAAACTGAGGCACACAGAGTTTTAGCTCCTCTTGGCCAGAGCGAGGATCTGAACCCAGGCGTCTGAACCTTGGGGATCCTGCAGGGCAGAGTGAGTTGTGGGATGGAATTGCATCTTTTACAAAGTGCCCAGCACAGGGTGGGCCCCTACAGAGGGTAAGAGCTGGGGGTCGGGGCTCAATCGGGTGTGATTTTCCCCTTTTCCTGCCCTCCCTGGGCTGGGACTCCCCTGTGGGGTCCTGGTGTTCACCTATGTCTCCACCTGCAGAGCCAGGAAGGTCTCAGCCTTGGGGATGCCGCCCAGCTCTGCAACAGGCCCCACTGCCTCAGGCTTCTTCTTTCTTATGCAACTCCTTCGAAACTCCAGCCTGAGAAACCCCAGAGTCCAAGACCTTGGTGGACTCCATGCCCTCCACCCTAAGGGTCTCAGAGGAGGAAAGAGTGTCCTTTTAGCTCTGGCCCCTCAGAGCTTGTTACCCAGATTCCAGGGGACACTCTGTCTTCTCCTCACGGCTCTCTGGGCCCCACCCTTCCGTCCCAAGGGGACTCTACCTTTGATCTCTTGTTTAGAACTCCTGACCTGAAAAGGAGATATGTATTCATTAACTCCTCAGATGACCTGGTGATCTTTTCCATCACCTTCTCCCTCTCTCTTATCTGGGTTCATGGCCCCATCCTTTACCTACTGGGGCCCTCACTGTTTCCCTGGCGTGTATCTCTAACTCTACAGCTCATCTGATATAAAAGGTAGTTATTTCCTAGGAGGAAATTTAAGAGATAGAGCCAGCAATGACAAAAGAAAGACCTTTCCGGAGGTGGGTCAGAACACTTAATTGAGTGTTTAGAGTTTTTTAGGAGAGATAAATAAAGAGGACATGAGTAACCAAAGGGTAAATTGGGGAGGCCACACAATGAGGAGAAAGCTTTGGGATCTGTATTCTTGTGGACCACAATGAGCTCAGGGGTTAAGGGATAAAGTCCAGGGTAAATAATGGTGTTGAGACCTCTGGGTATATCAAATATTAAAACAGAAATATCAGTGTTCTGGAAGAAAGTATGAGGTCATTTATTTTCTTAATTTTTTAAGTGGATAAGGCCTTTCTAAAGAAGGCAGAAAACCCAAAAATCATAAAGCAAGTACTGATAATATTTACCCTTATAAAATGCAAACTGAATTAGATTTGATTTACTTTTACTCTCTCAAGAGCAAAGAAAGTCCTGTAAATCCTGCCAGGTAATGTCAGGAGTTTGTTTTAGATGGTGGCAACTGCCTTAATGACTTTTAATTTGATGTCTCATGCTTACCATTTAGAATGTTAATTTTTGCTCTTGGAAGATGTTCAGAAACAAGCAAGGGGGGAAAAAAGTAAAAGATCTAAATTATTTATATATGTGCATAACCAAACCAAAATGAGACCAAAATCAGATTGCCCACAAATTTTAAGCCAGGTGTGCAGATGAAACAAAACCTTAAATCAAGCAAGCAGAATTAACCAAAAGTGAATTCACGAAAAGACATGCCTCACAGAATGTAAGTTCTATAGAAACCAGAAGAGTATACTCACCATAGAGATGAATGTCTTTGTACCAGAAAAGGCTTGTCAGAAATGCCAAAAAGTCTCTTATCATCCTGGGAGGAATATAAGGTTCTTTATTTAAGATGGCCTTACTGGAATCAGATCTCAAGTAAAGTCAAAGAGCTTCTACAAAAATGGAGGCTTTGCCTGAGAGACGACTCACCAGTCTGTGACTCCTGGTCTGGAGTCCTTAGACCAGAGTTCAGAGGGCTCAAGTGAGTACTGAACACCAGTCTCAAGAATCGCAGATGCCTACTGAAGGTGATCTTGCTTCAGGTCCCACTTCTGACTCCAGTTATGCCAACCTATATAACACACAAAGACGGAGAGTCTCTAAAAGCAAGTGGTGTGTATTCAGGAACGGGCATTGCAATGGGAATACAATCATAAGCTATGTGCATATTCAGAAAGGTAAAGGAAGACAAGAATTTTTAAAGGAAAAATATGGAGGATTACATAAATGTTTTGAGATAACTATCCTTGGCTATGAGGATCCATAACAAAGGTGTTACGGATCCCCAGTTTTTGGGCAAGATACCCAGGTAATTAATCTGCAAGGTACTAACTTGGAAGACGAATGCCTGATATTCATAGGCCATAAAAATGGTTAACAAAGAAATAGCTTGAAATAATAACTGGCTTTGTTTAATATATCAGTTTTCATAAGGAATCTAGGTATAATTATTAAAAAATAAATAAGGTAAATTTAAATGACAAACACTTATAAATAAACTTCATAGTTTCAAAAATCTTGTTGGTAATTTTAAATCTTAAAGTTGTGTTAAATCAAGTAATAGATATTTATGAAATGTCTGGGTTATTTTCAAATAAGATAAAATACTGAAACATAAATTTCTGAACACAAATATAAGCTTGTTCTTAGCTTCTTAAGTTCTACAGAAAGATTAAATATATTTGGGTCTATTAATATATGTAAAAAATCATGTTAAGGGAAAACAGATTTCTAAAATTACAAAATGGTTCTCATCTACGAAATATTGATATGTAACAGACAGTTGCAAATTTCTTGCTTTCTAGGTTTTCATTAGAAATAAAGTTACTAACAGTTAAATTTTTTATTAACGTATATAATTTTGTACACAAAATGTACAAAAAAGTAAAATGTGTATTTGATGAGAAAAATTATGACAGGCATAAAACTATGCTCTTTATTGAGAAAAAAGGTTATTTAAGGATTGTTTTAAATATGGATTTGGAAAGGAAATATTAACAGGGTTGAAAGAAACCGGTAAGTAGAAGAGAGATGTGAAGAAAGTTATAAGTATAAAGATGCATTTTTGGTAAGAAAGTTTTAAAAAGAGAAGAGAATAACTTTTCAAAATAGTAAGAAAAAAAATCAATTTTTGTCCTAAAGTAAAATGACTATTTTTTTAAAAAAGAGGAAGTATAGGATAAAACTAAACTATTAAGTGTGTCATCAAAGGTCTGTGCAGGTCGCGAAAGGTTTTTAAAGGATGAATTTATGAAAGGAATTTTGTATGCAATCAAGTTGGCTACCATCAAAAAGAAATTATAAGTCTTTCTAAAGATTGAGCTTTGATAAAATGGATAGATAGAAAGATAGATAGATAGATAGATAGATAGATAGATAGATAGATAGATAGATAGAGATACATAGATATAAAACTAAGATTTTGGTCACCTATGTTAGAGCAACAAAATCGTCTTGAAGTATTGATCTGATCAATCTGATCTTAGTAAAATTTGCAAGAGGTTTTGATTTTGAATTCTGAACATTTTCAGCAATCTTCTAAACTGAAGACTTTTTCTTTTTTAGTCTTCATTTTATTTCCTGGTTTCGGGCGAGAAATGTTGTCATCTTCATTTACAATGGTAATTTCATTTCTCAAGGTAAAGTTTTCCTCTTGAAGCTTCTCAGATTCGTATATTAGTTCAACTTTTGCTGTACCTTAAAGTCTGGGATTTGCCATACCTCATTGACTTCTACTCTTCCTCTTTCTCCACTCTTCCTCTTGTCTCCTATAATCATTTCCCCTGGTTCAAACCCTGCTGTTGTGGCCTGACATGAAAATATTTGTCTTGAAGGTCTAGAAAAGCAATGTTTCTCTCCAGTATAATTCAATTCTGAATTCTTGGGTTTTCTTGATGTGTCTGAATTGTTTCCTGTAACCAGGCAAGTTCATATGCTTTCACTTTTTCTAAGAGCCATGTATTCCCCTGCTTGAGGTACTGATTTTTTTGTTTACTTATTCTATGATATGGTGTATACTCATAACCTTGAACACATTCTTCTTCTGACTAAATTCAAGTACCCTTTCATAAAGCTTGACTTCCAGTTTATCTACATGAGCTTCTTGTAAGGGAAAGCAATCACACTGCAGAAGGTTTATTTTTACCTACTGGCAATTAGCCTAGGAAAAAATACTTTTGTCATTTCCAGTCCTTCATGTTGTCTTTATTAGTTTTTTGTTTGTTTGTTTGTTTGTTTGTTTTTGAGTTACTTAGGGAAACTGAGCTTTGAAAGGATGAAGGGCTTTTTTTTTTCACATCCATATGACTTTCTTTATTGCTTTTGATGTCTTTGATGATCACTCTAGTTAAATGAGTGACTATTATTTCCATGGTAAACTGTGATTCTGTTTTGATTGCTTTGAACCTTTGACATCTTTGACAGGCTTCCTAAGGATTAAGTTCTAAATTAAATTTTTCTGACCTAAAATTATCTTTGAAATTTTCCAGTTGAACCCCTGGAGAGCTTCAGTGAGTATATCTCTCATCTTGTAGAGATACTAAATGATTAGCTTTATTTGGTAACTTGTATGGGAAGCATTTTCAAATGATAAATAATGCTAGATCTTCTTTCAGTTACATTTGTGAGTATAATATTGATATGAATGTTTTAAAATTGTATAGAACTCTTAGAAATCAAATATGTTATTAGTCATAATTCTAGTTATCATGTTGTATACCACTAAATTACAAAATTTCCTTCTGAATTTCTGGCTATGGTGAACTTTTATCAGATTTTTAACCATGATTATTCCAGGCTTCTAATAACTTTATGATAAAAGGGCTAAATAAAAATTTTCAGAATTCTAATGGAGAAACATGAATTCATAAAACTGCTAATCAAGATTAAGCAAAACAAGAATTAAGTGAACTGAAACTAAGTGAACTGATAAAAAGTAATTTTGGCTTTGTATAGCCTCTTTATTTGAAATACTGTTAGTTCTTTTCTTAAACATTATTTCCAGTTTTAAGGATACTTTTTGTCTTAAATTATAGTTTACAGCAATTTGATAAAGTATACATTTGTGAACAAAAGTGAAAACATTTATTTTTTCTTCCTGCCTGATCCCTCCAGACTTTGGAAACTATTCCTGAGTATTCTTATTTTTATGACAATATAATTATTTACATAAGTCATTAAGAATCTGCTTTCCTTATAACAGAATACAATTGGAAACATTGATTACATTACCAAGGTTTTGCCTGGAATGTCATGTTTAAATTGTTATAGGTACTACCAACAATGTTTGTAGTCTACCTTGGTTTGGCTTCCTAGCCTCATGAGGTTTTTAAATCTGAGATTGGTATGTGGACAAATCCCTACATTTGCAAGCAAAATTAAACTATATGTAAAGAAATTTGTCTTACTCTGACCATCTTTATTAAAAATCAGGATGACTATAGAGAGAAAAAGTTATGTTTCTAGAGACAAAATCCCTGTAATACACCTGCTATTAGATTGTAGCTCTGTGCCTTATTTTCCTAATATTTTGAGTTCTTGTCATCTACCTGTAAATTGGACTGGATCCTAACTTCCTAATTTCCTTCAATATTTGGCTATAATTATCCAACTAAGAAAAAGAATTGCTCTGTTCCTAAAGCCCTAGAACCTGAAAGCAGACAATTTAGTATAAATTTCAAGGGACAAGTCTTGTGCCTGATGTATGGGCCAGACAGAGAGTTCACCAAACTGCCTGACACCATACCAGGGACATTCAAACTGCAAACTAGGAAAAGAAGTTGATGGGCTCATGCTGTAGGCAACTTTCCCAAGACAAAGAAACAAGACTATCCGTCATAACGGAACTCTTGGCCCTTTAATTTTTCCCTTTTTATGCCTACCTTTTTTGCTTTTGACAGAATAATGGTGTAATTGAACTTCCACAATCAGTAAGTAGCTTCTGTTGGTAACTTGACAGAACCTGACCGAAGAGATCCTTTAGTACCTACTGGCTAAATGAGGAAATGTCTGTGCTATTGCTAATACTATATGCTGTACCTGAATAAACTCTTCTGGGAAGTTAAGACCCATATACAGAAAATGAAGAAAAACAGTTCACATGGTGAACTGGTCTCACCTAATTTCTCGTGGTCATTTCATTTATTCAATTAGTTGCCCTTAAGCCTATGTTCATAGTTCAAGTCCATAATGCAAACTGGGGTTGCTATGTTAGTATTAATTTTATTTTGTATTTTCCTTTCTACACTTTGTACCTGTTAGTTTTCAAATTTCTGCAGAAGTACAATCCTAACATAATAATGTTCACTAAGGATGATTGCTTTAACCACTTCTATTTAGAACTGGAGGTTCAAACCAGGGCCCTTGGGCAAGAAAAAGAATAAAATGGTATCCACATGGGAAAGGAAGAAATAAATTTATCTCTGTTCACTGACAACATAGTCTCATACGTAGCAAACGCTAAAGATTCACACACAAACTGTTAAACTGCATACAAATTCAGCAAAGTTGCAGGATACAAAATCAACACACAAAAATCAGCTGTGTTTCCACACAAGAAAGAAAATAAGTTTAATTAGCTCATAGTTCCACAGGCTGTACAGGAAGCATGATGCTGGCATCTGCTCAGCTTCTGGGGAGGCCTCAGGAAACTTACAATTATGGCAGAAGGAGAATCTTCCATGTACCATATTTTCTTTATCCAATCCACCATTGATGGGCACATACATCGAGTCCATGTCCGTGCTGTTGTGAATAGTGCTGCAATGAACATACATGTGCATGTGTCTTTTTGGTGGAACAACTTATTTTCCTTTGGGTATATACTCAGTAATGGTATTACTAGATTGAATGGTAGTTACGTTTTAAGTTGTTTGAGAAATCTCCAAACTGTGAAAGCAGGCTCTTGATGAAGTATTTGTACACCCAGGTTCACAGAAACACTATTCACAATGGGTAAAAAGTACAACAACCCAAATTCATCAACAGGTGAATAAATAAACAAAACATAGTATATACATGCAATGGAATAGTATTCAGCATTGAAAAGGAAGGAAATTCTGACATATACTACAA